TGAGTGTACACATGCAAGAAATTTGCCTACTCCTCCTGGAATCCTTTTCTATTTCCCCCTCTAAGATGGCTGCTGGCATTACAGCATAAGAACAAAAGAGCCCTGCTGGATCAGACCAGTGGTCCATCCTGTCCAGCATCCTGCTTCACACAGTGGCCAACCAGTTCCTCTAGAGGGCCAACAACAGGGCAGAGAGGCCGAGGCCTTCCCCTGATGTTGCCTCTTGGCTCTGGGATTCAGAGGCTTAGTGCCTCTGAATGTGGAGGTCCCCCCTCAGTCACCATGGCTGGTAGCCATTGACAGATATCCTTTATGAATCTACCTAATCTCCTTTGAATGCTACTTCTTCCTCTGGCCATCACGAGACCCTCTGGCAACGAATCCCGCATTTCCATCACTCTCTGTGTAAAGAACTATTTCCTCTTGTCCATCCTGAACCTCCTGCCCATCAGCCTCACAGGCTGCCCTCGAGTTCTAATCTTTTTTTTTTGGGGGGGGGGATTTCTCTTCGTCAACTCTCCCCACCCGATGCATAATTCTATAAACCTCTAGCATGTCCCCCCACCCCGTAGTTGCCTCTAAACGGAAAAATCCCGGACTCTTCAGCCTTTTCTCCTAGGGAAAGTGCTCCAACTCCCTGATGATCTCGGTCGCCTCTCCTCTGTTCTTCTTCCAGCTCTGCTATGTCCTTTTGGACCAGAAACTGCACACAGCTTGCTTTCTGGTTTGTGACGGGATCTCAGAATTAGTACTTTCTTGCCACCGGAGGTAGGGATTGGGAAGTCTGTTGTGTTAATTCGCAATCAAACCCTTCCGAGAGCGCTCAAGACTAGTGACGAAACACACCCAGAATCTTCTGTGTGTAACAAATCCCTAACGATGAATGGCAGGAATACGGCCGTGTCGGTCTGCGGCGAGACAGCTAGATTCGAGTCCAGTGGCACCAGTTTGGTGTAGTGGTTAGGAGCGCGGACTCTAATCTGGGAGAACCGGGTTTGATTACCCACTCCTGCACATGCAGCTGCTGGGGTGACCTGGGGTCAGTCACAAGTTCTCTCAGAGCTGTTCTCTCAGGAGCAGTCCTCGAAAGAGCCAGTTTGGTGCAGTGGATAGGAGCGCGGACTCTAATCTGGGAGAACCGGGTTTGGTTCCCCACTCCTCCACATACAGCTGCTGCTGTGACCTTGAGTCAGTCACAAGTTCTCTCAGAGCTGTTCTCTCAAGAGCAGTCCTCGAAAGAGCCAGTTTGGTGCAGTGGTTAGGAGCGCGGACTCTAGAACCGGGTTTGATTCCCCACTCCTCCACATGCAGGTGCTGGTGTGACCTTGGGTCAGTCACAAGTTCTCTCAGCTGTTCTCTCAAGAGCAGTCCTCAAAAGAGCCAGTTTGGTGGAGTGGATAGGAGCGCGGACTCTAATATGGGAGAACTGGGTTTGGTTCCCCACTCTCCCACATGCAGCTGCTGGTGTGACCTTGGGTCAGTCACAAGTTCTCTCAGAGCTGTTCTCTCAAGGATAGTTCTCTCAGAGCTCTCTCAGCCACTCCTACCTCACAGGGTGTCTGTTGTGGGGTGGGGAAGGGAAAGGAGATGGTAAGCCACTCTGGGACTCCTTCGCGTAGTGAAGAGCAGGATATAAATCCAATCTCCTCCTCCTCCTCCTCTTCCTCCTCCTCCTCCTCTTCTTCTTAGAGACCAACAAGATTTTCAAGGTATAAGTTTCTGAGACTCAATGCTCGGTATCCGACGAAGGGAGCTTTGACTCTCAAAAGCGAATACCCCGAAAATCGTGTTGGTCTCTCAGGTGCTACCGGACTCAGGTCTAGTTGGCAAAAATAAGTTTCTTATTAAGTTCCAGCCGACAGGCACGTGAACATTTCCCCTTCCCAGTACGGAAGAAAACCTTGCACCGTTACAGCCACGATCCGACCAGATGTCTAAAGCTGTGGTGGAAACGTACGTCGTTCCAACTGTCAAGCTTACTTTGGCCATAGACATGGACAGGCTCTCGTGCTCCAGGAAGAACTCCTCGATGGCTCGCAGGGCGTCCAAGTGGTCCGACGCCCGCTTAATGTAGTTCTTGAAGAGCGGAGCCCAGGTTTTCAGTAACTGCGGAGAGTGGGAGAGGAGAGAAAAGAACCAAGGGGGAAATGTAATGAAATATATATCTCGTTACACATCCGTTTTGATTCCAGATGTGTTGGCAGCAGCTCCCGACTTTGACATTGTTGAATTACTGGAAAACGTTTCAAAGATTAAACTGTTTATGCATTTAGGTTGCGGAAGAACAGCCAGGTCCCTTCCTGAGAAAGTAATATGAGTAGCCAAGAAGTTGGAACTTTCTTGGCAGAGTAACACAGGGACACATTTGATAATACGCTCAAACCCACAGTCCATCCGGGCCCCAGCTTGGCTTCTCTCTGAAGGCTTGGCGGTGAATGACGACATCCGCTTTGACCACGCAGGTCTCTCGTGGACCTGGTGGTACTGTACCAATTTGCACACCGCTCTAGCTGGAAGGGAAACCTGCAGAAACCTCCCCCCCCCCCCCCAAAAAAAAATGTTCTTCCACAAGAACGCCTATCAGGTTATACACTGGAGACTGAGGTAATAACCAAAAGAAAGGAAAGAAAGTTCTTTGCTAGTGACCCGATACATTATAAAAAGGCTCCATGAGAATTCAATTGTTTTTCCGTTTTAGCAGTCTCCTTTTTGAAATTAGTAAAGGTAAAGGTGTCCCTTGCTCAAAAGCCAGTCGAATCCGACTCTAGGGGGCGGTGCTCATCTCCGTTTCCAAGCCGAAGGGCCAGCGCTGTCCGAAGATGTTTCCGTGGTCATGTGGCCGGCACGACTAGACGCTGAGGCGCACGGAATGCTGTTACCTTCCCACCGAAGCGGTACCTATTTATCTACTTGCAATTTCTTGCTTTCGAACTGCTAGGTTGGCAAGAGCCGGGGCCAGAGATGGGAGCTCCCTCCGCCACGCGGCACACTCGGGTCTTGAACTGCCGAGCTGCCGACCTTCCGGTCTGCAGCTCAGCATCTTAACCTCTGAGCACCACGTACCGTGCGCCTCGGCGTTTAGTCATGCCGGCCACATGACCACGGAAATGTCTTCAGAAAACGCTGGCTCTTCAGCTTGGAAACTGAGGTGAGCACGGCCCCTGGAATTGGATTCGACTAACTTTCGAGCAAGGGAAATGTTTACCCTTTATTTACCTTTTGAAGTTACCTTGACGTTACAGCAGGGCGATCTGTTTATTGCATAAGCTCAAATACGAACGGATGTTTTTGGCCAGCCCAGCATAAACCATGGATTTTTATTTGAGAAACTGGGACGGTTTGTTCTATATGAAATCTCTCGATTTCCCCCCAGGTTTCTTTCGTTCGCGTTCTCGTTCTCTCTCTCTCTCTCTCTCTCTCTCACACACACACACACACACACACACACACACACACAAACGAACACGAAGCTTCCAGGCAGCACCCTCCACAGGGAAAACATCTGAGTCCGAGGCAGTCATCCCAGTTTGGAAGAAGCTAACCAAAAAGGCTTTTCTCATTTTTCCTCAGCCGTGAATTATACTTCTGTTCAATGCTCCCCCTAAGTCTTTTGAGCCAAAATTCTATTTTGTGAGCTACTGGCATTAAAGTGGTGAGCAAGCGATTTGGCTGCTGCATAAATCAGTTCGCTCTGGAGCCCTCCTTCCTGAGCTAAGACAAAAATGTGTGAGCCAGAGGCTAAAAAACTATGGGCTAGCTCACATTAACTCAGCTTAGAGGGAACACTGCTTCTGTTAACATCCAAGGCATGCACAGGACAAAAGAAAAGCAATTTAAGGCTTCAAAACGAACACAGAAGAACGTACTGAAACCCTTCAGCATAAAGTGAAGGCCTCGCTTCAAAATGGAGGTGGGCGGAATGGAGTGGGTGCAGAGGAGAGCAATGAGGATGATCGGAGACCAAGAAGTCCTGTGAGGAAAGGCTGAGGGACGGGAAGGTTCAGTCCCCACTCCTCTACTCACAGCTGGCGGATGACCTTGGGCAAGCCATAGTTCTGTCGGAGCTGTCCTTGAAAGAGCAGTTCTTGGGAGAGCTCTCTCGGCCCCGCCTACCTCACAGGGTGTCTGTTGTGGGGAGGGGCAGGGAAAGGAGTTTGTAAGCCGCTCTGAGACTCCAAGTCAAGGGCAGGGGATAAATCCAAACTCTTCTCCTCTTCTTCTTCTACTGAAGGGAAGCTTCACGTACACAACAAACTATTTTTTTTTTTAAAAAATACACTTGTTCTAAAAGGCATCCTGTTGCCCTATCAAAGCGGCTGACAATTGCCTTTCCCTTCCGCTCTCCAAAACAGGCGCCTTGTGAGGTAGGTGGGGCCGAGAGAGTCCTGAGAGAACAGTGACTGGCCCAAGGTCACCCGACTTGCCTTGTGTGGAGGAGGAGTGGGGACTTGAACACGGCTCTCCAGATCGCCCTCCGCCGCTCTGAACTGCTACACCACGCTGGGTCTCCGAGAGAAGCATCGGAGTTTCCCCAAAGCTTAAGCACTCCGTACCTGAGGCTCTTATCTGCCTGTCTGATATTTTAACATCTATTCAAGTATGCCGTTGCACAGTTTTTAGAAGAAGAGAAGAGACTGGATTTATCCCCCGCCCTTCACTCGAAGTCTCAGAGCGGCTTAAAAACTCCTTTCCCTTCCCCTCCCCACAACAGACACCCAGGGAGGTAGGTGGGGCTGAGACCTCTTTCCAGAGCTATCCTTGAGAGAACAGCTCTGACAGAACTATGGCTTGCCCAAGGTCATCCAGCAGCTGCACGTGTCGGAGTGGGGAATCAAACCTGGTTCTCCCAGATTAGAGTCCGCACACTTAACCACTACACCAGACGGGGGCTCTCCCCACAACAGTCACCTTGTGTGGCAGGTGGGGCTGAGAGCGTTCTGAGAGAACCTGTGACTGGCCCAAGGTCATCCAGCAGCTGCACGTGTCGGAGCGGGGAATCAAACCCGGTTCTCCCAAATTAGAGTCCGCGCACTTAACCACGACACCAGACGGGGGCCAGAAAATGAAACAAATCCACTGACCACTGTTTTCCTGAGAACGCATCTCGCCTCTGCACAATAGGAGTACATTTTTCCGCACCTACCGCTCATGCAACACGCCACTGAGCTCTACATGACCTCTCCTGAAGAGCTCCCTATGAGACATTCTCAACCACATCATAAAAGATCAGGAGTCCGGGGGGGGGGGGGGGAGCCAGTCTCCCTTCTGGCTGCTTTTCTGCCACCGTACAAACACAATACATTCATTGGGCTTATCAAGTGAACCAAGAAGAAGAGTTTCCTGCAGCCCTGAGTGCTATTGGAAGATGGTGGAAGAGGAGGAGGAGGAAGAAGAAGAAAAATTGGATTTATACCCCCACCTTTCACTCGGCGTCTCAAAGAGGCTTACAACCTCCTTCCCTTCCCCTCCCCACGACAGACACCCTGAGAGATGGGTGGGGCTGAGAGAGCCTCACCTGGCCTCAGGCCCCACCTGGAGTCCTGTGTCCAGTTTTGGGCACCCCATTTTAGGAAGGATGTTGACAAGCTCGAGCGTGTTCAGGAGAGGGCAACCAGGATGGTGAGAGGGTTGGGATCCAAGTCTTACGAGGAAAGGCTGAAAGAGTTGGGTCTGTTTAACCTGGGAAAGAGAAGGCTTAGAGGGGACACGATTGCAGTCTTCAAGTATCTGAAGGGCTGTCATGTAGAAGATGGAGCAGATCTCTTATCTCTTGCTCTGGATTGCAAGACTAGAGCTAATGGGTGGAAGTGACAAGGGAGTCGTTACCGGCTAAATATCAGGAGAGACTTCCTAACTGTAAGAGTGGTTGAGCAGTGGAACAGACTGCCTCGGGAGGTGGTGGATGCTCCTTCGCTGGGCGTTTCCAAGCGGAGGCTGGATGACCATCTTTCGGGTACGTTGTAGGTATGTGGGGCTCTCTTTCGGCTGTGCTCCTGCAGAGCGCAGGGGGTTGGACTAGATGACCTGCAAGGTCCCTTCCAACTCTAACATTCTATGATTCCAGCTCTTTCGAGGACTGCTCTTGAGAGAACAGCTCTGAAAGGACTGTAACTGACCCAAGGTCACACCTGCAGCTGCATGTGGAGGCATGGGGAATTCAAATCTGGTTCTCCCAGATTAGAGTCCACCACTCTTAACCGCTACACCAAACTGGTAGTGTCATATAGGGGTTAAGAGCTGAGGACTCTAACCAGGAGAACCGGGTTGATTCCCCACTCCTCCCCACATGAATCCTGCTGGGTGACCCTGGACCAGTCACGGTTCTTTCAAAACTCCCTCAGCCCCATCTGCCTCACAAGGTGCCTGTTGCAGGGAGAGGAAGGGAAGGCAATTGTAACCAGCTACAACCCTAGAGTCGGCACGGTGCAGTAATGAAGAGCGGCGGACTCTAATCTGGGAGAACCAGGTTTGATTCCCCAGTCTTTTGCATGAAGCCAGCTGGGGGACCTTGGGTCAGTCACAAGTTCTCTCAGAGCTCTCTCAGCCCCACCTGCCTGACGAGGTGTCTGTTGTGGGGAGGGGGAGGGAAAGGAGATTGTAAGCCGCTCTGAGACTCCCTCGGGTAGAGAAAAGCGGGGTATAGAAACCAACTCGTCTTCTTCTTCAAGCATCCTTACATATTTCCCCCCTCCAAGCTGAAGGCTATTTGGACTTCTAAATAAGAGCTTTATGGTCTTTGCAGATAATATTGGCCCATCCCACACACATCCCCGGGCTGGGATTATAAACGGCCAAGACACACACAAACACACACCCCGTGCATCGTGAGACGTCTAAAGAAGATGAGCAACCGTCTTCCTTGGGGATTTTCGAAGGAAGCCAAATAAACAAGAGCCAGACGGCAGCTCTCTTCCAAGGCCAGCGAGGGCCAAACAACAGCTCAGGAATCTGACGGGGATGAAAAAGCAAACGGATGCGAACGAAACCTGCGCTCTCAAGAAGCTGATGAAGGGCTGACTCTTGGACGGACCGTCTGGTGCAGTCGCCAGAGCGTAACCCTATGACTTGACATTCAAACTGCCCCTCACAAGACGCTGCCTTACACTGAATCAGCCCATTTGTCCCGCAGGGGTCAGTTTGGTGTAGTGGTTAGGAGCACAGACTCCAATCCGGGAGAACCGGGTTTGATTCCCCACTCCGGCACGTGCAGCTGCTGGTGTGACCTTGGGTCAGTCACGAGTTCTTGCAGAGCTGTTCTCTCAAGAGCAGCTTCTGTCGAGAGCTCTCTCATCTCCACCTACCTCACAGGGTGCCTGTCGTGGGGAGGGGAAGGGAAAGGAGACTATGAGCTGCTCTGAGACTCCTTCGGGTAGTGAAGGGCGGGGTATGAATCCAATCTCTTCTTCCCAACTTCTTCTATTGGCTATTAAGACTGGCGATGGATCTCCAGAGGCTCAGGCAAAGGAATTCCATGTCTGATACCTGGTTCCTTTAACTGGAGAAGCCAGGGATTGTAGGCAAAGCAGAGGCTCTTCGACTGAGACATGGCCCTTTCCTAAAAGAAGCTGCTTTATTCGGATTGATGAATAAATTAAATAGTATCAGAACATAAGAAGAGCCCTGCTGGATCAGATCAGTGGTCCCTCTAGTCCTGCATCCTGTCTCTCACAGTGGCCAACCAGTTCCTCTGCAGGGCTAACAACAGGGCAGAGAGGCCGAGGCCTTCGTAAGAACATCACAAGAGCCCTGCTGGATCAGACCAGCGGTCCATCTAGTCCAGCATCCTGCCTCACACAGAGGCCAGCCAGTTCCTCTGGAGGGCTAACAACAGGGCAGAGAGGTCGAGGCCTTCATAAGAACATCACAAGAGCCCTGCTGGATCAGACCAGCGGTCCATCTAGTCCAGCATCCTGCCTCACACAGAGGCCAGCCAGTTCCTCTGGAGGGCTAACAACAGGGCAGAGAGGTCGAGGCCTTCATAAGAACATCACAAGAGCCCTGCTGGATCAGACCAGCGGTCCATCTAGTCCAGCATCCTG